CCGACCTCATAATTTTGAAAAATGGCAGACATTTATCTGCTGACTTCGATATGAACCGATGCAGGGCTGCCACTCTTCCGGTCAGCCTCTGTATATCTTTCACTGATTTCGACGGTTCCATCTCGGCAATTGCTCTGATCTTCTCTGGATTGACTTCAATTCCCTTTTGGGACACCATGAAACCTAGAAATTTTTCGGACTCCACTCCGAAGATGCATTTGGCTGGGTTTAACCGCATCCTATTCTTTCTGAGGTTGTTAAAGGTTTCGTCGAGGTCGGCAAGATGGTCTTCTGCTTTTAGGCTCTTTACCACAATGTCGTCGACATATACCTCCAGATTCTTGCCAATCTGAGCGTGGAAGACAATGGTTACCATTTTCTGGTAAGTAGCACCTGCGTTCTTTAAGCCGAACGGCATCATGACATAACAATAAATTTCATCGCTAGCATAGAACGTGGTTTTCTCTTCGTCTTCTAGAGCCATTGGCACCTGGTGATACCCCGAATATGCGTCCAAGAGGCTTAACCTCTCATTGCCTGAAGCCGCTTCAACTAATTTGTCAATGCTCGGCATTAGATAGCAATCCTTAGGGCAGGCGTGGTTAAGATTTGTGTAATCAATGCACATTCGCCATTTGCCATTTGCCTTTTTCACCAGAACTGGGTTAGCCACCCATTCACAGTAATCAACTTTCCTGATAAAACCAGCCTGTAGGAGCTTCGTTACTTCTTCTTTAATAGCCTGAAGCCTCTCACCCCCAAAGAGATGCCGCTTTTGGGCCACTGGTTTCTTCAATGGATTGATGCTGAGCTTATGTTGAGAGACTGAATTTGGAATTCCTGGCATGTCTGCCGAAATCCATGCGAATACATCATTATTAGCTCGAAGAAAAGCTATTAGCTCTGCCCTTTCCTCTAGGTTCAATCTAGTTCCGATCTGCATCTTTCGGCTCGAATCTCTGTCATCAATGAGCACTTCTTCAACATCTTCAACCGGGGCAGCTCTGGTTTCATCTTCCAGTCGATTATCTACGATCTCAACACCCATAACTTGCTGATTATCAGAAATTCACTGGGGAATGGCCTCGAGTGTCTAAGCTTTGCCCTTCATGGGTTGTGTTACCGAGGTGATATAACAATGCCTGGCCATCTCCTGGTTTCCTCGCAGTGTTGCTATTCCCATAGGAGTTGGGAACTTCATACAGAGGTGAGACTGGGAAACCACAGCTCGGATTTCAGTCAGTGTGGGTCGACCAATAACAATGTTGAAAGAAGACGCCATTTTGACTATGAGGAACCGGACTGAAGGAGTCACATAGGTTCTGCCACTTCCAAAAGCCACATGGAGGGTAAGAACTCCTTCTACCGGAACAGGCTGGTTGTTGAAACCATAGATAGGACCATCATACTTCTGCAACAATGCTGGATCTAATCCTAGACTCTCGAAACAATGGAAGTACATGATGTCTGGTGCACTCCTGGTGTCAACAAGGACACGCTGTACTTCACAGTTATTAATCATTACAGAAGTGACCAAGCGATCATTGTGGGGTGTAACAACTGTATCGAGATCAGCAGATGTGAAAGTAATGGGTTGATTCTTCCACTCAGCATCGTCAATCTTTCGCTTCTGAGCTCGGTTTTGATGTTTAATCTCTCTGACATACAGCTTTCTCTGCTTAGAGCTCAGTCCACCTGCTTCAAGGCCTCCCGTAATCATATGTATGATTCTAGCTGGTGGTGGGAGCGGAGGTGGGGTTTGCTGATATCCCACACCTTGCCTATTTGGGGGATTGCGGACTCCTTGAGGCTGCGGCCTCTGTTTTCTGATAAACATCGGCTGTTCAGCTCTCTGAACATACTCATTTAGCATTCCTTTCTGAGCTAAACTTTCCAGTTCGGACTTTAAGCTGTTGCATTGCTCTGTAGTATGACCGTGATCTTGATGAAAATCACAATATCTGGTGTGGTCTCGACTAGCAGCAGCAGTTTTCATCGGGCCAGGACGCCTTAAATCCATTTTATTCTTGATCTGCATAAAAATTTGTGACCTTGGCAGACTAAAGGGAGTCCAATTAACTGGAGGTTTACCTGCAGATTGTTGCGGGGGTGTTGAGTTCGTCCTTCCGAATTTCGTTGGGGAGGTCAACATCGGACCTCGATTTTGCACCATTCTCATCCTTTTCCAGCTCAGATTGTCATCTCTCCATTCTGGGTTCTGGTTCTTAGAGGAAGGTGGGTTTTGCGCCAGGGCGTATTCCTCAGCAGTTATAAATTTGAGAGACCTATCGTTCACCTCGCTAAAGGTGGTGGCAGCGTGTTTGATCAAACTGTCTCGGAACCTGTCATGTTTGAGACCAGAGATTACAGCTGCAATGCCCACAGCTTGGTCGAATGAACTAACCTCCAACACCGCATCATTGAACCTGTTCATGTAGTTCTTCAGAGACTCTCCGTCCCTCTGTTTAACTCACATAAATTCGGTAGTAGTTTTCCTAATCAACCTTCTACTGGAAAACTTAGTGGCAAAGGCAGATGCCATTTCTGTGTAAGAACTAATTGACCTCGGAGGTAGACTGTAATACCAAGTTCGAGCATTACCTCGCAAAGTAGAGGGGAAGATTTTGCACATTAACGCGTCAGAGGCGTTCTGAGCTTGCATGCAAGAGTAGAAAGCATGCAGGTGATCATCAGGATCCTTCGTCCCATCATAAGTCTCCAGTTGTGGTATTTTGAAGCCAATGGGATAAGGTTCCAGTGTGATGTTGGTATTTAGGGGGTGAGGTATGGAGTCAGCAGCATGGTGTGGGGGTGGAGTACCTCGGCGTTCAGCTACCAGCTTTTCTAAGCTATCGACGCGGCGAGTAACATCATCAGGGATGGGTTGTTGAGCAGGCGCTATGTGGGATTGATCTTGAGATTCGCTAATAGCGGGAGCAGGTTGAACCGGTTGGGGATTCTATTGTGGAGCTGGGGGTTGTTGAGTAGGGTTTAGTAAATTAATGAGGGGATCACCAGGATTATTTCTAGCTAGAAGTTGAGCCAGTACCAACTGAAAAACACCAAATTGCTGCTGCATGGCAGCAAGCTGAGCTGTCACCACGTCTTGGTTGGCAGTGGAAGTTGAATTGTGAGCTGAGGTATGGGGTTGGTTTTCATCTCCTCCTTCTGCATGATCAACAGGAGGGAATATGGTTGGGACCTGAGGTGGAAACTGAGGTGGGATTTGAGGTGGGATCAGAGGTGGAAGGTTGTTGGGGGGTTGACCTTGCCCATGAGGCAGAGATGAATTACCAGCTCGGACTGATCGAGTGTGAACCATGATGAAAGAGCAACTAAAAAGCTTTCAGTTCGTTTCCCACAGACGGCGCCAATGTAATTGCACCAAGCCAGAAGTCCTTCTTTGGTCCGCGCTTACACTCCGGAATGACCTGCAAAGCCCCGAGGTGGAACTCGGGGTAGACACTCCGATGCTTAAGTCAGCAATAATCGGGGCTACCTTAAAGGCGGAGATAGAAAGAGCTTAGGGTTGGTTTCAATTACCTTTTTGACGTGGCCCGGGAGGGTATTTATAGGATCCAATGAGGAACCCACGTG